GGTCAGCTGGTATTATTTTTATTTTTACTATTCTTAGCACTAGACTATGGGTGTCTGGGGAGAGTATTTCTGCCTCTAAGTACTTGCAGGTCCACCCCTGCAATCTCTGCCCTTTCCTGTTCTGGCAAATGCTGGAGCCCATGCTTTAGCCTGAGGAGAACAGGGAAGTCCCTAGGTACCCCCACCCCACCTGGCTGCGTTCAGAGGACCATTCCCCAGTTACAGCAAGGGAGGCCTTGAGCCAGCCCAGCCCAAAGGAATAGATAGCGTCCAACTTGGAACCTCCTAGAAGCCAGAGGCCCCTCAGAGGCTAATACAAGAGCCCCATTCCTCTCCCGGAGAGGGGCAGGCACTTCCCTCAGGTCACTCTCAGTACCAGAGTCAAAGTAGTTTTCTCCTTCCCAGCGCAGCCCGTCCCTTTGCCCAGCACCTCCTGCAGGGCCTGTTTCTGACATCTGTGGCTCTAGAACAGCAGGCCCAGGGAGAACTACAAGAGACAGGGACTACTAGTTCATGGGTCTGTAGTACAGTAATGTCAGCTGCCGTGACAGCATGAGCTCTCCAGCAATGGTGGAGGCCAAATTAAAGCTAGTAAGAGCTTGCTGTGGATGCTGCAAAGAGGATGGAGAAGACGGGGGAAATTAGAGGGCTCTTTACAGGTCTAGGACTTCATTTGTGTGTCTAACAGATGTGTGGCTGGTCAGCAAGTGGGTGTGGGCCAGACAATGTGAGGTGCTGATTTTTACTCTCATACCCACTCCAGGAGGCCTACTTCAAGAAGCACAAGTTCAACACGGTTCCAGGTGTCCAGCTCAGGAATGTGGACAGGTTGGGGCTGGCAGCAGGGCAAGGGGTGGATATCTAGGAGATTTGGAGGCCAATCCCTGAAAGTCCCTTCCAATCCCGGGCCTGTGTGTTTACTCCAGCCCTGCTGCTACAGATTCCCATGTGACCCCTTGCCCTGCTCAGTGCTACCCATGGGACCTGAGGGCCTGCCCACTCCCCTGACCCATTTCTCCCTCCTCTTCAGTCTGAAAAAAGAAGCTTATGAAGTGGAAGTTCACAGGCTGCTCAGGTATGGCCTAAGACAATTGGGGTATAGCAGGGAGCAAAGAGTCAAATACTGGGGATCTTGGCCCCATAATTTACAGGGTTCTGTACAAAATGAAAATCAGGGACCTTATCTCAAACATTATTAAGAACTTCAGGGTGGCAACAGCAGAGCATTCAACCAAGTACAGGGTCCTGTGGGACACACCCATGAAGTGGGCCCTATCTTGGCCATATTCTCCCTCGCTCCACTGCAGTGAGGCTGAAGTTCTGGACCACAGCAAGAACCCTTGTGAAGACTCTTTCCTGCCAGACACAGAGGGCCACACCTACGTGGCCTTTATTCGAATGGAGAAAGATGATGACTTCACCACCTGGACCCAGCTGGCCAAGGTGCTCCAATACCATGCCCACCCTGGAGAACCCCTGCCCCTCACACATGTACTGCCCCAAGATCCAGGGAGCCTTTACTCTGGAATCTTCAACCTCAGAACCTCCTCTTTATACTCCTAGAACCCCTCTTCCAACCTCCTTGTCCAAATTCATATTCCAAAAGATGCTATCTCTTGCAAATTGAGGTGGTTTCTGAGGAGGGCCGGGGGCTAAGCCAAAGCGTCTTCAGTGACCCCTCCCCACAGCTCTCTGACCCGTGTCTCTGTCCCCATCCCACCCTCACCAGTGCCTCCATATCTGGGACCTGGATGTGCGTGGCAACCACCGGGGCCTATGGAGATTGTTTCGGAAGAAGAACCACTTCCTGGTGGTGGGGGTCCCGGCTTCCCCCTACTCGTGAGTGACCCTTTTCTGCCCTGGGAAACGGGAGGCCTAGTGAGATCCAGGGACATAGCTAATGGCTTCTTCCCTATACATCCTTGTATTATTTTCCCAGAGTGAAGAAGCCACCCTCAGTCACCCCAATTTTCCTGGAGCCACCCCCAAAAGAGGAGGGAGCCCCAGGAGCCGCAGAACAGACATGAGACCTCCTCCAGGACCCTGCGGGGCTGGGTACTGTGTACCCCCAGGCGGGCTAGCCCTTCCCTCCATCCTGTAGGATTTTGTAGATGCTGGTAGGGGCTGGGGCTACCTTGTTTTTAACATGAGACTTAATTACTAACTCCAAGGGGAGGGTTCCCCTGCTCCAACACTCTGTTCCTGAGTTAAAGGTCTATTTATTTACTTCCTTGTTGGAGAAGGGCAGGAGAGTACCTGGGAATCATTGCGATCCCTAGCAGCTCATCCTGCCCTTTGAATACCCTCACTTTCCAGGCCTGGCTCAGAATCTAACCTATTTATTGACTGTCCTGAGGGCCTTGAAAACAGGCCGAACCTGGAGGGCCTGGATTTCTTTTTGGGCTGGAATGCTGCCCTGAGGGTAGGGCTGGCTCTTACTCAGGAAACTGCTGTGCCCAACCCATGGACAGGCCCAACTGGGGCCCACATGCTGACACAGACTCACTCAGACACCCTTAGACACTGGACCAGGCCTTCTCTCAGCATCCTCTTTGTCCAGCTTTCCAAAGCTGGATAAGTTGATCATTGATTAAAAAAGGAGAAGCCCTCTGGGGATGTGTCTTGTGATTGTGATTTTGTGGGTCGGGGGGTGCTGGAGGGAAGTGGTGGAGAGAATACTTGTGTTGGATGGTGAGTTTTCCTTACTGTCCTCCACAGAGTTTATCTTCCATTTGGGGCCATTTGGCCACCAGGGGATGCCAAACTCCAAGGTTTTTCCCCAACTCTACCCTAGGACAGCCTGACTTTAGCCCCGTCCTACTTGAGGCTTGGAGCAGCCACCCCACCTCTTCCCCACCGTTTAACCACCAGCCTGGTTCCTGCTTATCTTGCCTGGGCCGGGCACCTGCCCCAGAGATGGAGCAGGAGAGAACAAAAAGGGATACTTGGGAGTTGGAAGAGGAAATGGGAGAGCAGGTGTGCATAGTGGGGGTGGGAAGGAAGTGGATGGGACAGGACTGGGCAGGCATCATTGAAGAGACGGGCTAGGGTGCAGATGGGGATGTAGGAGCAAGGGTGTCTATGACCCTTAGAGCACTTTGCCATTCAGAATTCTCTGTCCGGGCATTTTTGTGAAGAAATGGGTCATGGTCTTCATCACATTCTCACATAGCCAGTAACCCAAAGAGGTTAGGAAGATCCAAGTTAGTCATAGAGGCACCAGAAAATGGATGGGATTGTCCAGAGGCAGTGAATGAGAAAGCCTACAGCAGGGAAAAGGACATTTAAGGGGTCTGTGAAGGGCCTAATGTCAGGAGGGTGAGTGTAGACCACCTCTTCAGAAAGGGTCTGCCTGCCTCTGTACAAGTACAGTACTCCGGCTGGAACTCCAGCCCTCCTGCCTGCTCTCTGCCCTGCCTCTTTCACAGGTGCCTGGAGTCCAGCTCGGCGACAGCGTGGGTGGTGTGTGGCTTGGACATATCTCGCCACGCTGACGCCTTCGTTGTTTGCTGGAGCTGGAGATAGTGCTTGAGGTGGCACAGCAGCCAGGTTGAGCAGCAATTAGCCCATGATGAGGTGGAGGCCCGCCCTGGGCAAACAAATCCCGTGCAGCCTCCACACAGGCACCTGGTGGAGGGGAAGTATGTGAGAGGCACAGTATGGTGGTGAAGGGGTGAGGCACGCTAGCTCCTCTCCCTGTCCCGCACCCTGGCAGGCTCCTGGTCTGCCCCTCACAGACCAGCTCTAAGGTACTCTTTGGTTCTGGTCAGGTCCGTCTTCCTTTCTGGGCTCAGCAAGAGGGTGATGGTTCTGGGCTGTCCTGGAAAAGCTCAGGAAGAGAGTTACAGGGTTCAAAGGGAAGCAAGGAGGGGGACTGGTTTGTCAGGCTGGGCTTTGCTTGGTAGCAGACACTGTACCCTCTCACCAGAGCCTCCCTCAGGCCTCTCACTCCTGGCTCAACAGTGATCAGGTCTGTATCAGAGACATTCTGGCCAGCTGCCCCTTCAAGTGGAACTAGTATCATATCAGCCAGGACTACACCAGGTGCTGGAGTTCTGGACCCAAATCTAGGCTGAGCTCCTCATGGAAGCCTGTGGGACTGGGGCAAGTCGCTTGGCCTTTCCTAGCCTCAGTTTCCTACCTGGAGCATAGGGATGGTTAGGGCTAAAGAAGAGATGAGGTCTAGGCCTGATGAGGTGGTTCACGCCTGTAATCCCAGCACTTTGGGAGGCTGAGGCAGGTGGATCACCTGAGGTCAGGAGTTCGAGACCAGCCTGGCCAACATGGTGAAACGCCGTCTCTACTAAAATTTAAAAAATTAGGCATGGTGGCGGGTGCCTGTAATCCCAGCTATTCAGGAGGCTGAGGCAGGAGAACTGCTTGAACCCGGAGGCGGAGGCTGCCGTGAGCCGAGATCACACCATTGTACTCCAGCCTGGGCAACAAGAGTGAAACTCTGTCAAAAAAAAAAAAAAAAAAAAAAGAAGAAGAAGAAGAAGTCTGAAGAACACCAGGTATGCCAACAGCAAATGAAACATGAAGTTCTTGCTGAGATCCCAGAAGCAGGGACAGATGTGGGGTTTTGCCTGAGTGGGAAAGGTAGGCAGCGTGGACCCTAGGAAGGGGGCTCCTGAAGGGCTTCCCAGCACCTAAGGAGTGACCCTTTCCCATTGACCTAGTAAGAATTCGGCACAAGCTTGTTATTTTCATAGCTTTCCAGTCCAGTGCCCCCACCCAGGAGGGGGTAGTTTCAGTCCAAAGTTCTCCCCATTATAAGGAGGCAGACTGGCCTAACCCAACTCTACTTCTTCACGCCCTCTCAGTCATTCCTCTTGGGTTCCCTCCCAGGCCTGGAACCCAAATGAAGGGGAGAAATAACTACTTCTGACCCCCAACCCCACCCTACTTCCCTCCTTTGCAGGGCCTTCTGAGTTGGCAGCTCCACAGGAATCTCAGACCAGTTTAGGCCCCTCTCCCCAAGGATACATGAAGAGTTCAACTGGCAACATTGTAACTGGTTTATGCATTTTGAAGTGCTTTCTACATATCCGCCCAGAGGCTCTGCTGATTTCACTTATGCCCAGGCTATAAAACGCTTTCCTCTCATCCCCCAGTAGAGCACTGGGATCACCACTAGGCCTAGGGGCGTTTCAAGGGTTTAATAGACTGGGGGAATGGGCAACAGAACTGGCCACCTTAGAGGCTCTGGAATGCCCCCCACCCACCCACCCGCCAATGAAAGGAAAGTCAGGCACTGCCTAAAAGGAGTGGTCCCTATCTAGCCCCAAGTCTGGAGCAGGAAGGGCAGGTCCACTCTGGCCCAAGTGACATTGTTAGATCCTGACACTTCCCCCATCACTGCTTCTTGCCAGGGTGCCTCTTCACAGTTCCCATGTGGCAGCAGTAGTGGCAGAGGCAGAAGTGTACTTATTGTAGATTGCAGTACAGATACATGGACACAATCATGGCAGCCAGCTGGAGAGGGAGGAACAGGGAGAGATGAGGGGACATGATAGGGATCCTGAAGCCTGTCCCACAGACACCCTACCTGAGGCCCAATTAGGTCGGTTTCCTCCAGGGAGGCCTCAGATGGGTTGAGCAGCCCTGGTCTCGTGCCCATATCCCAGTCCCAGCTTCCTCATCTGCTTACCTCGAGGCCCCCAATTCCAGCTGCCACACCACCCACGGTGACTGCATTAGTTCGGATGTCATACAAGAGCTGTTGGAAACAACCCTTCAGGAAGAGAAAAGAGCATTTATAGTTGGCAGCTGCCCTACTCCCATCCCTGTTTGCCACTCTGAGGCCATGAAAACTCCCTACCCACTCGTGCCAGCCCACACCTCTACTTTTTGGTGGTCAGCCTTTTCCTTGGTGCAGGTTTCATTGACTGTGTTGGTGACGTTATTGCAACAGAATGGGGGAAAGGCATTGTTCTCTCTGACGTAGGGCGAGTCCTCAAAATCCGTGTAGTTGGTGAAGCCACAGCACTTGAGCTGGAGACAAGATGAGGGTGGAGGTGGGGCCTTGCTTCTTCCTCTCCACCCCAAAACCTCCCCCAGCCAACCTTACCTCTGTCATGGTGGTGTTCCACACTTGAGTGAAGTCTTTCTGGGAACCATAGTCTTTCTTGATGGCAGGCACTACCAGCAACGTCAGGAAGTGCTCAGCCTGGGTGAGGCAGGCCAGTGTTTAGGGGTTGGTACAGAAGGTGGCCATTCACAGGCCACAGCCCACTCCCAGGGTTTTGCCCAATTTTCTTCCCTTCCTCCATCCCAGTGTCTCACCATTGTGGTGTACACCAAGGCGACCACAGCAGCTGCAACCTCAGCAATGAAGATGAGGAGGAGGATGAAGAAGAACTGAGTGGGGAACAGGGATCTGGATTTTAGGGAGAGACAGTCCCTCGAGCCCTCTTTGCCCTAATCCACCCCCTGGAAAAGTGAGACAGAGGCCTTAGCCTAGGGGAGTCCAAAGCAAGGTTTGGGAACCCCAGGGCCTGGTGTCAAGGGCAAGGGGACTCTTGGTCATGGGCCTGTGGAGCTGGGTTTGACACACCGTCATGAGGGCACACTTGCTCTCAGTCTGAGCACCATAGCAGCCCAGGAAACCAAGAGCAAAGACCACAGCGCCGGCTGCGATGAGGAAGTAGCCCACGTTGACAAACTGCATGGCACTGGACGACAGCGGCCCGAAGATCTTCAGAAAGGATGCCCCATCGATTGACACCCAGATGCCCACTGCCAACAGGGCCGCACCACACAGCTGGGGAGAGAGACGTCAGGCAGGCCTTAAACAGTGCTGACAAGTAGCTTACTACCACACAGTTGAGTAAGAAGGATGGGAGCCGAGAAACTTCCCTCTTTATTGACTAGGGAGTCTAAAACCTCATCCTGTAAGGAGGGGAACATCCTCTAGAGCCAGAAAAATGGGAGCTGGGATGTGCATAGCTAGGATCAGGCTGCACACCTGGGCAGATATAAAGGCGATCAGGGGTTCTAGAAATATCCACAGGGTAGGGGGAGGGGCAAACCTTTCCCTTACTGCTGCCAGGGTCCTGCCACATAGCTAGGATTGAAAATAGGCAGATGAGGTCCCAGCCTCCTATTTCCTTTCTGGGTGATGGGTGCCTAGAACATCTCTGTCCTCTGATAGGTGGAGACTGAGCAGTAGCAGAACAGGCTCAACAGTCACCATAGTAATAGAGGCAGGGCTGAGGTTCCACCTGCTGGCAACCTTGGAGAGGGAGGAGTTTGAGAAGGTTCACCCGCCTGAGGCCCCATTTGGCTCCCCTCTAGAATCCAACTTCAGGCCTCATCCAGTCAAGACCTCCTTGCCTCACAAGAGGAAAGTGAGGCACTAGTGGGAATACAGCCAGAGTTTCTCTTAAAGGCTGTCTAACTTAACTCCAAACCTCAGCGGGAATCCTGAGGCCCAGATTGAGGAGGGCCCTGTGTAGTTGCCACACATCTTAGAGCAAAGTCTCCCGGCCCAGGGCCTCAGTGGATGAATCAGCCTGACACCACCTTGGTGCCTAGTCCTCACTTGCCAGGAATAAAAGCTGAGACTAGAACGGGAAGTGAGGTGGCAGATTGTGGCTGGATTCCAGGCATGTTTGCCCAAGGACAGAAAGCTGGACTTCTAGCCTGCAGGGTCAAATTTCAAGGAGCTGGAGGTCTGCCCTATCCTGCTCTGCCCAGCCTGGCAAGGTCTGGGTAAGAGAGGCCAGAAATCAAACCGGATTTGCCTTTAACCCTCTCAGGGCAGAGCCTCTGCTGTCCAAATCCCTGGAATCCTATTGCCTCCTCCAGATACATGGATAAAGACTAGTTCAGGACTGGCACAGTGGCTCATGCCTATAATTCCAGCACTTTGGGAGGCCGAGGTGGGAGAATCACTTGAGCCCAGGAGTTCGAGACCAGCCTGGGCAACATAGTGAGACCGCTTCTACAAAAACATTTGTTTTTTTTTTTAATTAGCTGAGTATGGTGGCACACTCCTGTAGTCCTAGATACTCAGGAGGCTGAGTGAGGTAGGAGAATTCCTTGAGCCCAGGAGGTTGAGGCTGCAGTAAGCCAGAATCATGCCACTGCACTCCAGCTTGGGTAACAGAGCAAGATCCTGTCTCAAAGAAACAAACAACAACAACAACAAAAACAAGTTCCCTGCAGCCAAAGGAAGCCCAAGGCACAGACCACATCAGAACTAGAGAATCTATCCATGCTTCTAAACTAATCAATATGTATATAAACTCTGTCGCCCAGACTGGAGTGCAGTGGTGTAATCTTGGCTCACTGCAACCTCCATCTCCTGGGCTCAAGTGATTGTCCTTCCTCAGCCTCCCGAGTAGCTGGGATTACAGGCATGCGCCACCACAATTTTGTATTTTCAGTAGAGACGGGGTTTCACCATATTGGCCAGGCTGGTCTCAAACTCCCAAGCTCAACTAATCTGCCCACCTCAGCTTCCCAGAGTGCTGGGATTACAGTCATGAGCTACTGCGCCCAGCCCACTTCCTCACTTTTACTTATGCTAACCTACTCTAATGTGGCTCGGGTCTCTGGTGACATACTGTGCTAAATCCAGTGAACATTTCATGGGCCATATTCTCCTTGACCTCTCTGATAGCTTGCTCTCCTTGTTTTCCTCTCCCCCCTCCCACTGCTCCTTCTCCATCTCCTTCACAGTGGCTTTTTTTTTTTTTTTTGGGGGGGCTTATCCCTAATAAATTGGGTTTCCCAGAGTTCACTTTCCAAGTGTTCTCATCCACTCCCATGGCTTCAGTGGCTACCTGTGTGCACATGAGTTTCAAATACCCATGGCCAGCTCCAATCTGAGCTGTACCTCCACTGGGTACACGGCTGCCAGTGGGACATCCCCTCCCACAAACGGGGCCCCACCCCCTGCCATCTGGGTTGCTCATGCCAGAGATATGGGCGTCATCTCCAAGACCTCTGTCTCCCTTGCCCCTTCTTCTACCCCTCAGCCATCATCCTAGAGCTTTGGCCTTTGTCCACTTTGTCCGTTTCTCCCTATCTCCACCACCATCTCCAGGATTTATGCCTCATGGCTCAGCTTCTCAAACATGCCCTATGCAATCTGTTTCTGGTTTTCTGAACGATATCAAGTTTCATTACTTCTGGCCCTTTATGCAAGCTTTACAACTCCCCCACCAAGCACAATTTCCCAGCTTCAGCTATTTCCTCCAGGAAGTATTCTCCAACCAGGCTAAGTTCAGGCTCCTAAAACCTCCGTCCTAAGCCCAAACACACTGTGTTGTTATTATCTGCCTATCTGGCTTATTGGAGCTGAGCTCCTTCAGGGCAGAGAAAGGCTTTGCTTACCTGCCACCCCAGCACCCCTCATGGTATCCTAGACAATGAATGTTTGTCAAATGAATAAGGGCTGCTTGAGATAGACCCTTTGCTCTGATGAGATGTAGGCCCTCCCACCTTTCAGCTCCTCATCATACAGAAGAATTTCCTCTGTACTGAATTTCCTTCTGTGCTAGGTGAACTTGGGTGGAGCCCTCCTATTTTCTGGGCCCCCAGTGCCTATAAAGGGGGGAGAATCATTCCTGGTAGCTTACTCTGCCCTGCCTGAAGCCTGGGCTAAAGCTTTGTGGGAGAGAGGCATTGCCCCGAGCTTCTCCATCCCCTTTTTCATACACACCCCTGTATGGCAACCTGGGGACTGCTGGGACTAGGAATCAGCAGCATTTGGGGAGATCTCTGCATCCCACTCATATGGGGACACTTGCAGGACAAAGCCTGGGCATAGCAGTCTCCCATTCCCCAACTTAGTCTCTGCTCAGCTTGTGACCTGCTGCTGTGGGCAGCCCCGAAGAGTCCACAATGTCCATACTTACAAAGATGAGCAAATTGAAGAGGATCATTAGGGTCTTAATGAAGCTGAAGCACTGCATGGTGGCTCCTGGGAAGCAGACATGTGCGAGTTAGGGCCTTGTTTCCCCTGGCCCCACCTGGGCTGGCCCTGGCTTCAGATATTCAGCCAGATATGCCAGACCCCAGGATCCTGAACCCATATCTCACCAAGCTTCTCCTGTACCTGGTCTGACACCACGGACCTTTTCCCAGTTTCTATCCTAACACCCTTACCCCTCTATACTACCCAGGACCTCCACCCGCACCTGACACTCTGAGATCCTAACACCCCAGGTTCCTCCACCTGCACACCCAGCCTGACTCCCATGCTGCAAGTCACTCCATGCCCTTTCCTGGCACCTGTATATCCTGTGCTCCTCCCCACACTAACCCCAGACCCTCTCAGAACCCTCACTAGAGCCCCTCCAGCTCCCCAAACCTGTTTCCAGATTGATATTTCTTCACAGGATAATCTCTATCCCTATCCCATTACCTGTTCAGGGCTCTTGGCAGCGAGTTCTGAAAGAGGGAACTGCTGAGGCTCACCAAGGACAGAGCAGCTCCAGGGAGTTGCCACTGAATGGTCAGGCAGAGGGACGCCTGGCTCTCACACACCACTGCTCACCTGCAGGAAGGATAGGAGCTTTAAAGCCTCCTTCTGCCCGCCTGCTGGCCCCACCCATGGCCAGTTAGCCTCAACTTGCCCCTGCTGCCCCCTGCTGCCTGGAGACCGATCCCCACAATCACCGTCTCAGCAGGCCTCCGCCTGGCAACACCAGCCCTGGGCAACGCCCCTCCTGATCTCAAGCAGCAGCCCAGGGCTGGGGTAAGTGACTCCCCAGAATGTCTGTGTGCCCTCCACCACAACAGTGCAATGTGCTTCTTACCCTGCACCTGCTGATACACTCATACATACCCTCTGTGCTCATGCTCACATGCACACGCATCTGCCCATGCTGCCATCCATATGTTCACACAGCAAGCACCCAGTTACATACATAAACATGTACTAGTATTCCTGAATGCACTTGAGTGTGCGTGTGTGCGTGCATGCGCACACATGCACACTAAACTCTTTGTGGACTGACTCCCAGCAACTAACAAACAACAGAATAATATCTGACATATATACTTACGTATCTCTCTCTCTGTCATACACACACACACACACACACACACACACACTCCCTCTCTCACTTTCAAGGAAATGACCGAGATTTGGCAGCTTCTGCTCTCTCCTCCGAGTAGCAAATAGTTCCTAATCCTCTTCGCTCCATAAAACCTCACATTCCCCATTTTCCCCTCTCTTTATCTTTGCATCTCCTCTCCCTCCCCATCTTTTTATTTTTCCCCTTCCCAGTCTTCTCTTAGCTCTCTGTGTACACCCCTTCCCTTTCTGCCAGTAGGTGGCACCACGGTCCCATGAAGGACCCACCCCCAGTTCCAAGGCTCCGTGATCCCATCTTTATCATTCCTAGTGGGGCTGCCTGACTGCTTCCTGCTCCAGCACTCCTGATGTAGAGGTGCGGGGAAACTCCTGGCTTCCGGGTCATTCAGACCAGGCGCTGGAATCCTGGCTCCGTCGCTTATGAACTGTGTGACCCTGGGGACTTTTTTAGACTTGGTTTTAAACTGTTTGCTGGTCTTCTGTGTAACAATAGTTATGGGCTTTTCAAGTGAGATTTTCTTCCTGCTCTGGAAGGGAGGGACAGTAGGGAATGAGCACAGAGCAAGAAGGTCAAAGTGGAGAGAGTCACAGGCAGTGGGGCTACGAGATGGAGGAAATTCAAATTTTTTTTTTTTTTGAGACAGGGTCTTGCTCTGTTGCCCAGGTTGGAGTGTAGTGGCACCATCACGGCTCATTGCAGCCTTAACCTCCTGAGCTCCAATGATCCTCAGCCTCCCAAGTAGCCGGGACCACAGGTATTTGCCACAACGTCCAGTGAATTTTTTTTTTTTAAACAGACTAGGTCTTGCTATGCTGTCCAGGCTGGTCTTGAACTGGGCCCAATTGATCCTCTTACCTCAGCCTCCTAAAGTGATAGAATTACAGGCATCAGCCACTGTGCCCAGCTGAGGAAGTGGATTTCTAAGTTTGTTTTGTTTTTATAGTGGAAGAAGGCAGCTGAAGAGACAGAAGAGAGAGGGGCTAATAGTATTACAGACTACACTAATAATACTGATCATATTTTAAATGTCTTGCATATATTAAGGCTTTTTTTCCTCTTCACAACCATCTCATGAGATAGACTTTCTTATCTCCATTTTTAAATATGGGGAAACAGAAGCACCAAAGGGTCAGGTACTTGCCATGATCACACAGGTTGTAAGTGGCAGAGCCAGGATTCAATCCCAGTTAGCCTGGCACCAGAGTCTACATCTTAACCACCAAGCAGACTCTCTACACTGATGGAATCTCTAAGGAGGCAGGCAAGGCTGGTTTCCATAAAGAGCAAGGGAACAGGCCTTGGTCTGACCTGAGGAAGAGGAGGAGCAGGGGCAGGTGGGTTTGTAGTTACAGTTGCTAGAAGCTGATGGAAGCAAGGTCATATTGTAAGCCTGAGGATGGCAAGAGTAGAGGCTGGAGAAGGGGATGGGGGAAAGATGAGGTTTGTGAGGGTGGTACTAAGGGTCCTACAGAGTCCTGCAGGAACAGAAAGGAGGGTGAAGCTGGGAAGGGGGCCTTTGAGGAGCAGAGTAACAGGGAAAGGAAGAAGGGACTGAGGAGTGGAAGGAGAAGGAGAAAGTCTTTTTTTTTTTTTTTTTTTTTGATAGAGTCTCACTCTGTTGCCCAGGCTGGAATCCAGTGGCACAATCTTGGCTCACTGCAACCTCCGCCTCCCAGTTTGAAGCGATTCTCCTGCCTTAGTCTCCTGAGTAGCTGGGATTATAGATGCACACCACCACACCCGGCTAATTTTTGTATTTTTAGTAGAGACAGGGTTTCACCATGTTGGCCAGGCCAGTCTCGAGCTCCTGACCTCAAGTGATCCACCCACCTCAGGCTCCCAAAGTGCTGGAATTACAGGCATGAGCCACCGCACCTGGCAGCTTTCTCTTTCATTCTCAGGAAGAATTGGGACCAGATTACATTCATCTATGGCCCTGGTGCTCAGCACATATGAAGTTGTTAGTGAACATTTTCTGAATGAATGAGTGCAGAATAATGACAGTTAAGTGCTCTGGGTTTTGGATCTTGATCATCATGGATTTGCTTCCTGCCTGCCTCTAATTGTGAGACTTCACCTCACTGAGCCTCAGTTTCCTTATACAGTGGATCCTCATTATTCACAGATTCCATACCTATGAATTTGCCTGCTTACTGAAATTTATTTGTCATTCCCAAACCAATACTTGTGGTACTTTTGCAGTCATTAATGGACATGAGCAGAAAGGCAAAAAATTTCAGCCATTCAACACACATATTTCCAGCTGAGGTCTGTTGAACAATAAGACTCTCTGTCTTCTTATTTCAGCTTTCATAGATAAACAAATGTGATTTTTGGTGGTCTATTTAGTGCCGCGTATTCTCACATTTTTTGGTGTTTTTTGTTGGTGATTTTACTGTCTCAAATGGTCCCCAGTTGCAGTGCTGAAGTGCTCGCTAGTGTTTCTAAGTGCAAGAAGGCTGTGATGTGCCTTATAGGGGAAATACATGCTTTAGATAAGTTTCATTCAGGCACAAGTTATAACACTGTTGGCCGTGAGTTCAATGTCAGTGACTTAGCTATATATATACATATATATAAAAATATATATGTATATATATAATTTTTTTTTTTTTTTTGAGACAGAGTTTCACTCTCGTTGCCCAGGCTGGAGTGCAATGGTGCGATCTGGGCTCACTGCAATCTCCACCTCCTGAGTTCAAGCTATTCTCCTGCCTCAGCCTCCCGAGTAGCTAGAACTACAGGCACCTGCCACCACACCCAGCTAATTTTTGTATTTTTAGTAGAGACAGGGTTTTGCCATGTTGACCAGGCTGGTCTTGAACTCCTGACCTCAGGTGATCCGCCCACCTCGGCCTTCCAAAGTGCTGGGATTACAGGCATGAGCCACCATGCCCAGCCAACAATGTGTATTAAATAAGGTGTCTCCACACATAAAATCAGGTTATATATATAGATCAGTTGACAAAAATATTGTGACCAGAGGGCTTCAGGAACCTAACCTCGCATTTACCCTTTTTTCAGTATTTAGTGTTTGTGGTGACTTTATAGAACATTACTGGGAATAATGAGAATTGACTGTATATAAATAGGTACAATGGTGGCATATCCTTAAAAGTAGCTATGAGATTAAATGAGATAACGTTGGTAAAGTGCTTAGCACAGTGTCTGGCACGTAGTAAGGGCTCAAAAAACATTGTTAATATTGTTACTATATGGATAAGTGAGAAAGTGAGGAAGTGAGTTCCCCCTCTAGAGCTTCTCTCCCAGGGGGCCAAAGTGAGGCTGTCTGGGTGTTGGGCTGGCTTTTAGGCCAGACCCAATAGAGAAGACTGTGAAGGAGCCTGACCCATGAGGAGGGGTCAGGGCCCACGACTTGTAATAAAGGGCCCTGCCCTTATGCAGACTTTATATGTCATAGAGGCCTCAGCTACCCTGGCCACCAGCATCCCCCAGGCACAGTGCAGAAGCTCCCTGTGCCCATGGGGCCATCTCGGCTTGTCCGTGGCCCTCGGCCCCAGGGCATGCGTTCCCCCTACCGCAGACCAGGTATGGGCTGGCCCAGGCCCCGGTTTCCCAGGATGTTCAAGTGTAGCCGCAGAAGATACCAGCAGGGTGTCCAAGGTCGAACTGCCAGCAGGGCAGCCACCAATCCTGCCACCATGGCCACGGGTATCAACAACACCCACACTGACACCACCATAGTGTGGATCTTCCCACCTCAAGGTTAGCCAGGGGGCCTGTGAGCCAGGGTGGGGTTTTAAAAAACAGAGCCACTAGGCTGGGCGCGGTGGCTCACGCCTGCAATCCTGGCACTTTGGGAGGCTGAGGTGGGCAGATCACAAGGTCAGAAGATCGAGACTATCCTGGCTAACACAGTGAAATCCCATCTGTACTAAAAATACAAAAAAATTTAGCCGGGTGTGATGGCACGCATCTGTAGTCCCAGCTACTTGGGAGGCTGAGGCAGGAGAATCGCTTGAACCCAGGAGGCGGAGGTTGCAACGAGCCAAGATTGCACCACTGCACTCCAGCCTGGGCAACAGAGTGAGACTCTGTCTCAAAAAACAAACAAACAAAAAAACCCAGAGCCACTGAAGATTTCCCTACCTGGTTCTGTTTAGGCACTCCAAAGGATGATCTCTGTGAAATACCACCCCTACATGTATGGTGGACTCTTGATGGCAGGCACCCTAAAGTGCTGGCAGCCTTAATGGAGGATGGATTGGCTGGAAGCAGAGGGTTTGGGAAGGGGCTAAATCCAAGGGGCAGGGAACTTCCAGAACTGCTGCTTTCCTCACACTCTTCCCTCTCCTTCTTCTCCTCAGTTCTCAGACATCTCAGGCAACCTGGGATTTTTCTGATCCTCTAGAAGTGCCCAGAAGCTAGCACAGAAGCCTGGCTTGCCCTGGACCCGCATCTCCTAGGGGCCGTGGGGGTGGTGAGCAACAAATACAATCGTTCTGCTCAAACTGCCTTATTCCTCACGCACGGAGGTGTTAACCAGCTGACTATGCAGGGTGTAAGGGGAGGGTTAGGGCTGAATACTTACAGGGAAAAGCTTCAGTGACCACAGCAGGGATCATAGTTAAGACAGTAGGAGGACAGGACAAGGTCAGCAACATAGACCATCTTTGGTCTCAGCTCTTGATCTGCCCCATGAAGCAGGGGCTCTCTTGCCTCACGCTCCTAACTGCACAGGGAGAAGGGTCTCTGTAAACATCTTAGAAGGTATTGGGAGGCACAGATCAGAGAGGGATAGGATGGAAGACTGAACCCTAAGAGTACACAAGTATGAAGTGGATGTGAGGTGGTTGTGCCTCTGTGTGCCTGTGATGGTCAGCGTGGAGGTAGAGCTGCTGGTGTGTGTGTCTGAGGCCGGGAGAATGGGAGTATAAGCAGATGTGGCTGAATGTGCCTTTGTGATTGAATGTGCCTCTGTGACTGACTGTGAGTGTCAAGGAGTGTTTGTGAGGGTATGGTTGTGCCGGAGAGGACATCAGCCCTGGTAAGAAAAATGAAGGTCAGGAGGGGGATGGGGAACAGCTTAAAGGAGGAGAATATGGAGAAGGGTGAGATTCTGAGAAAGGCATACTACCTTCAGCCCTTCAACCATTCTCTGAGGTCAGTGTTTTCCAGAACTGGCAGCTGAGCTGGGGTGCTTAGGGGTGGGGCAAGACTGAGTTTGAGCCCAGAAAGTAGGGAGGGTGCTAAGCTCTCTGGCCTGGGGATTTTCCATTTGGATTTCTGAGTGTGTGCTCATGTGTCACTGGCTGTAACCGGATTTCTGTGGGATTGTGTCTTAGTAGCTGGGAACGTTGTGTGGGACTCTGTCTCTAATATGTTGCATTATGCATGGGTTAATGTGTGTCGCACCAGTCCGAGATCCGGCTCCATTTCCAGGCCTACCTTCCCAGGGGGCTAGGGAAGAGAGTGAACCCTGAGACTTTCGGTGGCCTGGCGCCCTGGGGTTCAGGAAGCCTGGCTAATGTCCTTTGCTGCCTGTGAAGGGAAAGTGAATTGTGCCTATGTCTGTCTACCCCAACTCTTGCCAGAGACTGGGACCCTGAGGGGGGTTGAGGTAGAAAATTCACTGACACACCATGCCCAGACAGTGCTGGGCTCCTCAGGGTATGGGATGGGGATTACTGGACATCAGACAAACCTAGAAGGTGCTTGGGCCATGCTCAAGGGCCCAAGAGGGGCCATACATATAAAGATAATTGACACAGTTCACAAACACATGCAGACATGTAAATATAAGTGAACTCATAGACACACACTGCAACAAACGCACACATGTATGCAAGCACATACTATGAGCAGAGATACGCAGACACAAATGCATAGATCCCCACACGACATATGTAACAACACATGTGCATGCCTCTAAATGAACACACACACACAGAAATATGTATGCACCCAGACACAAGCACACAAGCATCCAGATGCAGACATATGCCTTCACACTCATGCAAACCCAGGCACACACAGACATACACGCATGCAGACACACTCACCAGACTTCCCTGCCCCTGTGGCCCTGGGACGCAGAAGCCTCCCTCCCCTACATGAGAGTGTATAATATGTGTGTGTGCATGCACTCATGCCCACACTTGTGTCTATGTGTATCTGTGTCTGTGAGAGTGTGTGTTTGTGCTCGAGTGTGTGTATGATGGGGGTGCTAAGCTGTGGGAACCAGATGACATCATCTCTTCCAGCTATTTTTAGCTGTATCTGCAATGATGTCTCCTTCACTGCCCCTCCCCCTTCAGGTTTCTAATTCTCCTCCCCATCTAGGCTCCCAGAGGCAGCAGCAGCCAGAGGGCATCCACCACCTCAGTTTAGGTGACTTCCCGGATGACTGGGTGCCGCCCACTCTCTCCCACCCTGCCAGAGTTCCCTGGAGGCTGAGAACACCAGGCTCTCAGGCTGAAAGGGCCTAAGTTAGCTGAGCTGACCTAGATGGTCTCCACCCCTCAGGGTGCCTCTGCTTCTGCTTTTCAATCTGCAACTCTGTGTCAGTCAACAGTTTCTGCTATGTGCCAGGGATGGTGCTAAATTCTGCAGATACAGCAGTGAGCAAGGCAGTGGGAGTTCTTTCCCAGAGCAGTTATAGCTCAGAGAGAGACACATTACACAGATTATACAAGCTCTTCTTTAAATTGTGAGGAGGCCTCTGAGCACTGGTAACAGGGGCTCCTAGTCTGAGATGATGTTCTCTGCCTCTCTCTGTTCTTCCTTCTCCCACAGGTAGGATAACCTGAGGAAACCAGAGGGAATACACCCCTTACCTTGCACCCTTCATCCTAACAACTGTATCTCCAGAATTCCACAGAGCAGCGCTTCCTTCTCACATCCTAGACTGTGGTCCCAACATGGCACTAACCCACCATTCAACTAACTGGTGGTCCATGACACTCATATCTCCTTTTTCTTTTTTTTTTTTTTGAGACGGAGTCTCGCTCTGTCACCCAGGCTGGAGTGCAGTGGACGGATCTCAGTTCACTGTAAGCTCCGCCTCCCGGGTTCACACCATTCTCCTGCCTCAGCCTCCCGAGTAGCTGGGACTACAGGCACCCGCCACCTCACCCGGCTAGTTTTTTTGTGTCTTTTAGTAGAGATGGGGTTTCACCGTGTTAGCCAGGATGGTCTCGATCTCCTGACCTCATGATCCGCCCGTCTCAGCCTCCCAAAGTGCTGGGATTACAGGCTTGAGCCACCGCGCCCGGCCTCTCCTTTTTCTTTCTTTCTCTTTTCTTTTTTCTTTTTCTTTCTTTTTTTTTTTTTTTGGTTTTTTTTTTGAGACAGAGTTTGGCTCTGTTGCCCAGGATGGAGTGCAGTGGCGCGATCTTAGCTCACATCAGCTGTCTTCTCCCAGAGTCAAGTGATTCTCATGCCTCAGCCTCCCTAGTAGTTAGGACTACAGGTGTGTGCCACCAAGCCTGGCTAATTTTTGTATTTTTAGTAGAGATGGGGTTTTGCCATGTGGGCTAGGCTGGTCTCGAACTCCTGGCCTCAAGTGATCCACCTACCTCAGTCTTCCAGAGTGCAGGGATTACAGGCATGAGCCACCCGGCTCAGCTCTTCCTCTGCCTTTTTTTTAGGGACAGAGTCTCGCTCTGTCACTCATACTGGAGTGCAGTGGCCTGACCTTGGCCCATTGCAGCCTCAATCTTCTGGGCACAATCTATCCTCCCACCTCAGTCTCACAAGTAGCTGGTACTATAGGTGCAGGCCACCATGCCTGGATAATTTAAACTTTTTTTTTTTTTTGTAGAAACATGTTCTCCCAGCTACTCAAGAGGCTGAAAGCATGAGAATTGCTTAAACCTGGGAGGTGGAGGTTGCAGCCGAGATCATGCTACTGCACTCCAACTCTTGGGTTCAAGTGATCCTCCCTCCTCAGCCTCCCAAAATGTTGGGATTACAGACGTGAGCTACTGCTTGGCTCCCCCACCTCACTTCTCTTTGAAATATTCCTGTAGTCAATCCCTGGGAGGCAGGCCACTATTCCCCATCTATAGATGAGAAAACCAAGGCTCAGAGATGGGGAGCTCTGGACCACACCTCACAGTGCCTGGGGAGCAGCCCAGGGGAGATGGCAGGCAGGTGGAGAAGGAAGTGGTGGCGCACTGGGACAGTTGGCACAGGTGCAGGAGGAGCAGGCCAGGCCAAGGAATCAGGAGGTGAGGGGGAGGAGGACGATGGCCTGAGGGTTCATGCCAGGAGGAGGGCTTCCCGCTCCAGCCAGCCTCAGGCAGTCACTGGAAAATCGGGTTTGGCAGCTTCAGCCATGTGCTGCAGGACTGGAAGAAGGTCCAGGCTGCTCCTGGGAGGCAGCCTAGCGCGGGCTCTTCCTCTAGCCCTGAGTTTCACCACCTGGCTAGTTGGGGGAGTATTACTTTATAATTCTGGGGCCCTTTGGACTGTGAAGGGACCAGCTCTGGGCTAGAGGCAGGAGCCCGGAGCTTCGAGCCCAGAGCTTCAGTCCTGGTTCTGCCCAAGCCCTGATCTGACCGTTGGAATGTCCTGGCCCCTCTCTTGGCCTTGTGGCTCTGCTCTAGAGAAACAGTTTCCCCAGACCCCAACTCCTGCCCCCCAGATTTTCCTGGGAGTCTGACTCAGGCACAGGAACACAGAGTCAATGGGTAAGGGCACGAACAGACAGCTCCTGGGGCGCCAGGCTGGAGGTCGCTTGTCACTAACAGGTCAATGGCCGGAAGCCCAGCTCCAACCCCACAATGCAATACCGGTCACCCCACCCTTACCAGTGCCCTCACTCACACCCCCACTTCCGGCCTCTGTTCCTTCCTCACCTCTGGGGAAGGCTGCAGGGCTCCCTAGGGAATTTCCCCTGGTTCCTCCACTGGCTCTCTGCCCCGTGCTTAACCCTCCTTCCCACACCTATCCATTCAGCCAGGCCAGTCTCCCACAAAACTTTCTCTTCCCGGACCCTGGGGCAGGGCAAGGAGGGAAGGAAGCTGGGTGGAAGGCCTGCAAAGGAGACTGCTTTTCCTGCTACCCTCAGGTACTGAAGCCCAGGTAAGAGTTTTCAGGACAGAGGGAGTAGACTGAGTGTTTGGCCCTAGGACTGGGCTTCCCTGGGTACTATCCCACCCCTTGAGCCTCGGGAGAGGTGGCAATGACCTTCCTCTGCACCAGTGTGGCCAGAGAAGAAAGCCTGGAGCTGAGACTTGCAACTTCTAGAAAACAAACACAAAACCGAGGCCAAGAGAGTGCTGGCTACTATTACCAACAAAATTCATTAAACACAATTTTAAAAAATCATGAAATTCTAGATTCATGGAGTTCACAGTTATGGAATCTTAGCGTCACAGAATTCTAGCATGGTAAAATCTGGGTTACAGAAACTTAGAAATTCAGAATTGTGGCATTACTGAGTTCCAGATGACAAAATCAGAATATCCTTGAAATGGACATCTTGAGAAATCAATTAATAAAGCCCTTACATTCAGATGGCTGTCTAAACTAGAGGATTTCCTGCTGGGGATGGGCAAAGGTGTCCGCACATGAAGTCTGAGGGGAGGTAAGGAGCCTGGGACACATGAGCTTAAACCAGGGAGGGCCAGGCGCTGTGACTCACACCTGTAATCCCAGCACTTTGGGAGGCCGAGGCGGGCGGATCACCTGAGGTCAGGAGTTTGAGACCACCCTCGCCAAC